GGGAGAGAGATATCTACTCCAGCTTAAAAGTTATTAAAATTATTCTATCTTCTCAGATGACAAGAGCTGGGAATTGTTTTACAATAAAACGTTTTAATTGTGGAATAGTAGAAGAGAAAAGTGCAAAGAAAAAGTAAGGAACACTAATTATGTGCACTCATATACGAATTCATTAATAATTATAGTAAAAAAAATACACATAATAATACTATATATATATATTAATATATATATTATTATTATTTTATATAATATATATATATATATATATATATATATATATGTATGTATCTATAGCGTTTGAGTCTCTAATTTCCAATGGTAAAATTATTCTATAACATGAAAAAACGTTAACTTCGGTTGCACCGAAGGTATGATACTCTTCACAAATACGAAAGATTTATTACAAGAAGTTTGATCAGTCAGTTTGCATGGCAGCTATATGCTATAGTGACTCGATCTAAGCAATTACAGATATCTCGTCAAATGAAAATATTTTCCATATGAACACCTGATTCCGATCATTCAGTTTGTATGAGAGCTATATGATATTGTGGTCCGATAATTAAGTAGAAACCGTGTTTAGCACAAAAAATAATGAAATGTAAAGAGTTTTATTTATTTATTTTATTTATTAAATGAAATACAATTATAAATAATTATACTACCTATAAAGTATAACAGCACTAGCGATAACACCTTTAGCTGTCTGTATGTAAGGATTTTGATTTCACATGTTTTTACAAATTCCACATAAAATAATACCACAAAATAATATACGTATGGTATATTGAAAATACGCAGTGCCATATATTATTAACAAATCTGCATTGAAGCGCCACAACATAAAGTCAGCACTTTCAAAATCCAATGTGTGCGGTTGGAGCAAATGAACGGCGGGGTGATCAGCGAACGGTGCAACTCAGTAATTCAAATGACAAAAACTTTTTCAATTACGAATGAACGTCAAACGAGAGTATTGGGGCAGCATAAAGCTGTGAAGGGAAGAAGTCGTCGGTTGTATGTAGTTATTATTGAGCAGACTTGCAGCCAAAGCCTTGGACTAGGTATGCATGTGAAAGAGAACTACTTGTAGTATATTTATATATATGTGAGGCACGAGTATTAAATGTGTCACATGTGGCAGGTACAATAGTAGTTTTGATAAGAGAACGAGCGCGTGACTACGAATGCCTTGGAAAAAGATAGTCTGCAGTGCGGAAAATTCAAAGTTTTATATGAATGCGGATGTGTATATGTGTATGCATGTACATATGTATGTGGCTGGATGTGTATCATACTTATAAAGCTAACCTAACTAAATAACTGAAAAAACGCAGATAAAAATTTCCCGAAATGAAACTAGTAAACGTAATGAAATGAAAATAATAATAATAACAGTAACTTAGTTTAAGCCGATTTTCGCTTTTGATCCACGGTAATGATGAGAAGCAAGGCGCAGCAGCTAAAGCTTTCACAAACAGGCTTGCAAGCTGGCAGGTAGACAAACAGTCAACCACAAAAATGCCATTTTTCGTAAGCCAATACAACAGAAACTCAAGCAATGTTCCGTAACACACATGCAAAGCCACCTTGCAATCTGCCAACATTTACGAGTATGTATTTGCAGCATTAAACTTATTTTCCGGCGCAAACAAAGCGCTGTGATAGAGGTAATATAGCGGTGGATGAGTATAAAACGTGGAGACGTTGTTCGCTGAATGGGCACAGGCCACATACAAGTACATATCGTTGCCTAGTAAAATATGACGTAAGGTTTTTTTATCCACTGCAATTTTATATCTAAGCTTATAGAAGTACCCAAATAGACCAAATATAAAATTGCTAAACAAAGCTAAAATGCACTTAATACAAATAAAGTTTTTGATTGAAAAATGTGTAGTAAGGCTCAACTGTTTTAAATTCGCTAGTGCCTAAATTGTCCTACGTTCTTCACATATTCCATATATTCTATATTGTACCTTTTTTTTAAAACTTACGTAGTTGTCGATATTTTCATGGAGATGTACGAAAAATCTATAATTTCAAAAATTTCACCCACAATCATTTCATTATTCAATTACAATTTCAACTTTTTATTGTTATTTAATCTCGAAATTAAAATAATTGAAAAATTGCATATATTTTAAAAGCTTGGAAAAATATTCTACCGCCGGTAGCAAGATAAAACCACTAGTAAAGAAAAATATTGAAATTGTGAAATATTGACATATCATCATAGCTATTTACTTTTATATCGATAAATTATAATAATAAATTGAAAACTTGATTTGCGGATAAACTGAAATTTCAACGAAAGCTTAAGTAAAATGAATTAGAAAATTTATTTAAACATGCTTGCAATTAAACACTACTTTTAGGAGCATTTACTAATCGCTTCAATATAAACTTGCTGGAAAATACAAATGTTTCGAAAATTTTATTAATTTCTTCTCGGTATTGTTGCAAATTTAGATTCCAAAATCGTGTTACATATGGAATTTCTTCAATGACACAGTTGTTTCGAAAGTTCCAGCTGTTCCACCTAAGAAAATTAAATTAATTAAAAAAAAATGTTTTATTACATGTTCTAAAACTAGCGGCAACAAAATAAACATATTTCAAACTCCAAACGAACATTTTATTGGCTTAAAGAAAAAGTATTTGCACAACTCGTGTCAGGTCAACTCAATTCGCGAGCGCAACAAAAATATTTATGGTTGCTACGTGTAGGCTGCATAAATGATCTGTGGAAAGAACTAAGTTAAGTAGCCTCACAAACATCTTGCACGTGACATAATCGGAGTAGGAGTCTAGTACTAAATAGTACCTAGAAAGTGTCGTGTGCCTGCTGCATATCGTATTGAGCTCCATCGCTGCTGCATGCCCTCATAATCTGTAGGCGGCTAGCTTAGGCCGACATGTAGAGCACAAGCGTGCTTAGACTCACATGCGGAAATATACATATGCCTATGTGGCCCAAAACAGGCGACTCTCATGCGACGTTGTTCATAAAATTTCGTGCTGCAATGGCAAAGGCTCATCATGCCGCAAGCCAACAAATACATGCACACAACTGAATATACATATGTATCATATATGTATATGTGTTTCCATGTACCCTTATAAGCCGCCTAGCTGCTTGAGTGTCTACCAACCATCGCTAGCACCTGTAGGCTCAAGCGTGTAGGCTTAGAACCTGTACAGAGTGGTCGAGCTCTACGCTGTAGTATTGGGGACAGAAGAAATGGCTTTGAGCTTTATATAATTTACAGTAGAGCCTGAGCGGTTTAGATGGTGGCTCAAGCACATAACTGCCGACTGACATTTACCTTACATACATGCATATATATAAATTTAGACTGATACGTGTGTCCCAGGTTATGCAATTTAATTTTACAAAAATTGTAGTCTCCTTGTGCTATGTTACCACATTCTCAAAATTTTAACGTTCGGTCGTGCTAACTGGCTTTTGCAGTGTTATCCAATTCGTAGCTGTGTTGACGAAGTGGAAATTATGCGGACGGACGGTTACCAGATTTCATACTCAGCCTTATATTTCGAAATGATTGCATATTTTTAGGCGCTTAAGCGTAGTAACAAGGTGATGTCATAGCAAATGGAAAAGGATACTCTGAACATAACTTGAGGTGGATATAAGCAGTTGTTGCTTTTCGTTATTATTTTAGTACAAGTAGTGTGACAACGTTGGCACAATGCCAGACAAAATGTGAGTATTTGATTTCATTCGAGACATTGATGCACCATGAAAAACTATATCCGAGATGACATTAGTCGTAACCAGGAATATCACATTAAGAAGCTCAATTTAAATGAGGCGTTAAAAGTGTTGGTCTCTTTACTTAAACTTTGGTCACTTATATTGAAGAATTTTTCGTAGATAACCTCGTTCTGCTATGTCTTTCTTATCTTTCTGATCATGGCTGGGAATATTAAGTTTGCGAAGAAGTTTGTTACACCCAAAAGGAAACATCGGAGACCCTATAAAAGACATATATGTATATAAATGATCAACATAACGAGATGAGTTGATTTAGCCATGTCCGTCTCTCTGTATACACGCGTCTGTATCGGACTGCTATTGCATATAGCTGTCACACAAACTGAACGATCCGAATCATGTGATTTTATGGAAAACTTTCTCATTTGACGATATATCTTCACCAAGTTCTGGTTGTTTCCTAAGAATATAATGCAATATCTGTAGATATTGTTCAGATCGGTTAACTATATACTGCCATACATTCTGAATGATCGGAATCAAGAAATTGCAAGGAAACTTTTGTATTTTTTAAGAGTATTATAGCTTCGATGCAACCGCAGTTAACGTTTTTTCATGTTTTGAACTTATTTGGAGCAACCGTATGGCCTGAGCCCTGAAACAATATTTCTTGTTCCTCTTATGAAGTCTCCTAGCTTATCGGACTGCCCGCAATGATCTAACTCAGGTAGACCCAACCTAATCTGAAACCGAAATAGTCAGCATTGGCGCATTTGTTCTAGGACATTAAAAAAGCCAAAAATAGCAGACCTCTATCAAACTAAATACACCACAAATAAAGTAGCTGTGTCGAAGCCGAGATGACAGTGATCTTTGCAAACAAATGTTTTCCTCTAGGAATGACTTAATGTCCTCTCATGTTTTCTTGTTGATTTAACTTCTTCGGGCCTCTAGGTCAATTCAATATCACCTTCCGGTGAGAGTGGTGATTTTCTTAGCTGTATTTATTTCATTTATTTTGACATGACTATTTATTATAGAAGTAATTTATTTTTATATCTTAAGAGTATCCGTTGTTATTAAATTATAAAGTTGTGATTAGGGACAGTAAAAACGGGAAGAATCGAGATTCCGAAATTTGTGTCTTATTAAGACCTCCAAGAACACAACACAGTCTTTCCCATTGCTTTCAGATCTTTTGATCGCCATTTTTTACTAACCCTAATTAATGTCGTATTTTGCTTTTTCTTCATTGCAGCTTTCGCATAAATCGCATCGAGTCACCGATACTCAAATATGACGGTGACTGCGGGGAATCGCTGACCATTTACGACTCAGATCATCCCGATCCGGCGCGTATTATCAAAACCTTCTGCGATACATTCTCAAGACCCATGGAAAAGGTGGACTTCGTGAGTACTAGTCCTTCGCTGTACGTGCAATTCGATTCAAAAACGGGCTCCTACAGTGGCTCGTCGCTCTATTATTGGGCACACTATGACTTCTTCAATAATACACGCTTCGGGGATCCAGTGCCGAATACGCTCTGCGACGAGGTTATGTATGCCTGGAAGCATCCGGGTGGCAAAATACGCTCACCAATGAATTCTTTAATCTTTAAACGCACCGGCGGCTCTGATGTACGCTGCCAATATAAGTTCGTGACAGATCGGCGACTATATGCACGCGCAGTAATCGAAGTCACATCAGTATCATTCAAGGAATTGCCGTACAATAACAATGCCTGCACGCGTTGTCATGAAGAACGTGTTGACAAGCTGGTCATTTGGGAGGAACGCGAGAAGTTCCAAAACAATCTCGCCTGCTTCTGCGATAACATACCACGTGCTGTGCGCGTGATCTCCTCAGCGGATCAGATGAACCTGGAAATGATTGTACAGGGTCAACATGCGATCACGTCCTATTTCAAGAATCCCAATCCACTATTCGAGGCGTCTTATGAGTTTGCGCACGGTCCGCTATGTGGTCCCATAACATTGGGACCCTCGCCTGATGGTGAATTGGTGTTTCCGTATAAAAAAGCATTGGCGATGGCGGCGGGCCCAATGGCCGCCGTGCCTGAGCATCATTATCGTCGCGAAAAGTGCATTTGGGAACTGAAAGTAGCGGCACAACGCGATCTATGGTTGAATTTGGAGAAGGCGCGCTTTGGCGATCGCACCTGTGAGAGCGCTAAAATTGAGGTATATCTCGCCGGACGACTCGAACCACGTTTCATAATGTGTCCGGAAAATATCTCGTTGGCGCGTGATCTTCCTATACTCTCCGCTGCGGATTTGGGTGCGCTTGGTGCCGATCAAGAACCGCTACCGGTCCTGATACAATATACTGGCGACGGGCAGCCGGGAAAAAATGCGTTCCGTTTAGTTTGGACCGAACTGTTCCATTTGCCACGCAATCCCGACGGTAGTTTGGCATCGTCATTGCTGCAGGATGGCGGCTGTGATTTCCGTTGTCCCGGCGATACAGAGGTCTGCATACCGCGACACCTGCTGTGTAACGGTGTTGACAATTGTCCGAATGTGACGCATATCTCGACGATGGCTCAACTAACGCGGCACATTGAGTGGAATTTGGAGCAACTCGGTCTGCTGCATCGCGCACACGATTATAAAAATCTTGTGTTGCACGACGAGTCACCAGAAATTTGCCTGCGTCAAGAGCTAAGCGAGTTGCCCTATGGCAAACTGATATTGATCACGTTAGGTCTGAGTTTAATGCTGACGCTGTTCGTGGCGATACTGTGTCGCATGTGTCGGGGGCCTGGCCACGCCTACCACAGCAGATACTAGAGGTACGAGTGTTGGTTGCATGGCAAACCGCTAGGCGCACATGTGTAGCAGTTGTGTGCAGCGGGGAAGGCACAGCATGAGCAGTATGCTTCCGTTCATTGGCGGTAGTGTAGCAAAATAATGCTGTCATACCAAGGAAGCAAACTGCTTCGGAGTTATAAAAGTAAAACATATATTTTTAGTGTGGCAGTATGCGAGGTAAATATACATATGGTACATAATTCGATTTTTCATTTGTTTTTTGTTATTTTTTACACTTAAGTATTGTACCTTTTGGAATACCCACTGAGCGAAAAATAGTTGCCTGCTAAGTAGTAATTGCGCGGCATTAAATTAATAAATATATTCTAATTGTAATAGATAAACATAGGCAAGTAAATAAATAAGTCGAAGTTAGACTTTTATATTTGCACCCCAGTTTAGTTGGGCCTGAACCCATAGAACGAAGTGTGTAAACCAAAAGTCAGGTACAATTTTGACATAAGGCCTTTAACCCTTATATACGCACACTTCTAGCAAAAGATAAGTAAGAACCTGATGCGTTATCTTTTATAGTTATAGGCCTCAATGTGAGCTACTTATTTTTAACCAATGATTTTAATAATATCGGTAATAATTGAATGATGATATCAAAACTCGCAAAAGCCCGAGTAATTTCAATACGTCCGCATAATATCCAAAAAATTTACTTAGCCATTACAAATGTATAAACTAAAAGAAAAATGGTTTTACATTCAAAGAATAACTAAATAAAATTTCATTTGGACGACTCAGTTCTTCAGTTGCACTTCCTTGGGAAAAACTATATTTAACAATTGTGAATTCAAGGATGGCCCAGCCTCTCCAACTTTAAGCTAAGTAATGGCGTCTAAGATGAAGAGCTTTCTTCTGTTATTTTGTGATCTAGAGGCAATTAGACATCGCAACAGTTCGATCAAATCTTATAACTATTGTATATGAGAAGTATCTTAATGACAAAGAAATAATCACATGTGGTTGATCGGACTCTTCATTAAACATTTTTTAAGGCGTTGTCTGAAACTGAGAATCACCCAAGCTGTTTATTAGTTGTAGTTCGATCCTTTATTTATTGCTTTCAAGTCCACCACGTCCTATTAATTTCTAACCACCAGATCTAGTTCGAAGAGTCTATCTTACTAAAATAATAAAAAAAATTTGAAAGGTGTTCTTAGGTTCTTCATCGCAACAAGCGCGTACTGTCGAGTCTATAAAGGTTTATTAGAAGCTGGTGATTTTGTCGCAAAACTGAGGTTTGATACAAATATCACATTTGGCCTAAAATGATGGGTATTGCAAGTTATTAATTAAAAGGTATGTGCGTACACAAATTTATGATATATTCCTAATTTACCGTGTTTGAAATATTGAACTGACAATGGACTACAAAAGTTTGTGATTTGTAATAGACAAACAATAAATATTTTGATATTATGAAGAAATTAGCATTTAATGAAATGAATTGTTTTGATAAAAAAGTAAAGTAACACGATATTAACTTAGATTCATTACAGATACATTATAGATACAGATAATTAATAAAAGAAAAGAATTACTCTCGTTTTATACTTTTATTTATAGCATATATTAATCTTTTACATTATAAATTGGTGTTTTCTGTATTTATTATTTTTTGAACCAGTCTTTTTAAAAATTATTTTTCACTTTTGTTAAAGTATCAGAATCCAGGGGTAAGATAAAAAATGTCTTTGAAACGTTAAATCATAATCTAGGTTTTATTTTCCGCTGTGCTTTTTTGTTACATTCAAATTCACATGTCTTTTTTTAAATTTAGTCTCTGTTCTTTAAAATAAACGTTTGCAGAAGAAACCTTTGCCTGAGAAAACCAAACCCCAAAAAACACACACAAATTGGGTATTGATTTGGGAATAAAATTGTAAAAACCCCACTTGCATTATATGAAAATAAAACGAAGGAGAGAAGAAGAGAAATATATAGGTGTAGTCACTAAGTGGTATATAAAATGTATTACGATTAATAAGTAAGCAAAAACAAAAACATTTAACAAGCACACAAGGAACATAAGAAAAAGAAACATAAATAAAAGAAATTGCATAATAAAAAAATTGAAAAATAAAAAGTAAAAATAAAAAATGTATGTAGTTAAGTATATATATACAAGTACATATATATTGTATTCTTTTAGAATAACTATGTAAAATTAGTAATAAAATGATTTCAAACAAATTAAAAATTAAAAAAAGGTTGCTTTAACTTAATTGTTGATGGCAAACGGAAATGTATTGCATTTAACTGGAGATTTTTATTTTTATTGTACCTTGCTTTATTAAATTTGCAACTATATATATTTTTTTGTTGAATAGTATTTTTGTTTTAGATAATTATTATATAACTTATTTTTATTATTATTATATAAGTACTATTAACTATTTTGCTGAAATTGATTTGATATAATTTTATTTTCTTCGATTAACTAAAATATATTTTATATTGTGTAATTTTTACTCTCGCAACATGTTAAAAAAGCAAGTGTATTTGTTTGTTATACCTTAAACTAATTGAGATAGATATAAAAATATATGTATATGTAGGTAGGAGTGCAGGCACCCTGGGCTCATTTAGCGCTGGTTGCTCCATTTTGATGTACTATTGTAAGACTTTTATATTCGAGCTATCTCATTTCATCGTTGGTTCAAACCATTTGGTGGATATTCGTTAAAAATTGATATAAAACTCTCTTTTGATCGTTCCCAGCAGGCATGGTATTTACTCCGCCTCGGATTTTTCTAACGAGGCTATTAACTGCTTTTTTGTTGCCGAAAATCTTGCTGTGACCGGGAACCCAAATTATGGATAAGTGTAGTTGACCAGCCAGTGAGCTTAAAGCCTTCATGCAATTGTTAGATACGCTGAAATTAATCTGTGGCGGCGACAATGCCAGCCATGCCGCCTGGGTATCCATGTATATGGTTGCTTTCTGAATCCTTTCGTAGTTATTCAATAGAACTCCACTGGCCATCTCCATATCTAGTATTCTAGCTTAGAAGATGCTGGCTGAGTTTGGTGGCTGGATAGAGGAATAGAGAGATGTCAAACTCAAGAAACAAAATATAGTAATGAAGCCTAGTGAGTATAAAACCATTAATAATACTTTTAAGTTAATAATATACCAAATTGGATTGTAATCCATTCAGTTTCTTCGAATAATCCATGTCGAATTCTTACGAAATATTTTATTACACCCTGAATAGGCATCACGAAATTTTTAACACCCAGAAAGAAAAGTCGGAGACGCTATAATATACTTGTATATTCATTATCAGCATAACGAGCTGAGTCGATTAGGCCATGGCCGTCTATTCATCTGCTTGTATATACGCTAACTATCTTAATCCCTCAGTTTATTAGATATCGAATTTTTGCACTCCAAAAAGCTGCTCATTTGCATTTTGCTCATCTGTATGGAAATTTTTTGTATTTGACCAGATATGTGCGGAGAAAACTTATCTATTTTGACAAGATATCTTCTTGATTCTCATAAATATATTCTTATATTACTTCAATAATTATTTCCTTAACAATAATTTTTTTTTCTATGATAAATTTGATTCATTTAATTCTATTCTAAATAACATTTTTTTCCATTAGTGTTATGAAATTCTATCCCATTTATTTAAGTTTTATATTTTTTATGAAGTTTCATATTTTATTTAATTCCATATTATTTTAGTTTATTTAATTTATATAATATTTTTTTATATTTTTATATATATTTAATTTTTTAACACTTCTTATTTTTTTTATCATATTAAACTATTTTGGTTTATTTTAAATTGATAACATTTTTTATGTATCAGGTGGATTCAAAAATGGTTTCAATTTGGTCCAATTTTAATTTTTTATTTAATTGATTTTTTATATATACATTGTGGGGGATTTTGGAATGTTTTACATTAGAACCGGCAGACTGGACTGCGATCGCCGTATCGAATATTCAATAATTATCTACTTTAATTCCAGTTTGTCCAGGCAGCTTGAATTGCGATCAAATTCAGGAAAAAAATGTGTAACTACAAGAGAGTAGAGTTCTTTCCACGCAACATTGGTGTTTGTTATTCCTTATTCGTTAAATTTGTTACAGCTTGCCAAGTATGAAGACACTGTCAGTTGTTAATCGTTTAAATATTTCCAACACGTTGTAAGTCGGACGCAAAAAGAATAAAATGGCTAAAATGCCTAGAAAAAGGGAGAAATTTAAAATGGTTACACATTTGATTGCAAAATCAATTCAACGTAACATTGATTGAAGGAAGATATAAAATAAAAGTTCCAAGATTATTTTAATACACTTAGTTTGTTCATAAATTCTGTTATAAAGTTCTACATAGTATAATAGTTTTGCTCACCTAACGGTTGTTTGTTTAACCTCAAACTATTCGATTTGGATACATTGTTAACATAGGTTGTTTTCCATTATTTAAAAAAACCCACTAATTGTTTAGGAAATTTAAGTATTTTTTATTTAATTTTAGGTACGATCATTTCCATCAAGTTCTGAATATAGCATCATTCAAATGGCCTCCACGACTTCTTTTGCAAGAACGAATTCGATTAATCGAATTTTCGAGTACTTTTTGCACTAAATCAAGTCGTATGTCATGAATAGCACGTTCAATATTGACTTCTAAAGCTTAAAGAGAGTCTGGTTTATTGCTAAAGGCCAATTACTTTAAATAACCCTACAAGAAGTAGTCTAATAATATTAAATCACAACTTCCTGGAGGCCATTCAACGTCACAAAACCTTGAAATTATCGTTGTTGCACGTGCTGTGTGGCATCACACAGATTATGTCAAGATCAACTTCTTCCAATTGAGGCCATAGAAGGTTGGTTATCATCGATCTATACCGCTCTATATTGGCAGTAACAGTGTCAACAACTTTATTTCGAAAGAAGTAGGGGCCGATGACTCCACCATTATGGTCTTCAGCAACACTTGGCTGAACATCAGCAAAATTTTCATTATTTCAAGCGGTTCTTTGTCTTATTGGCAACTGAACATTGTGTAAGGAAAATCTTCACTCGAAATGTTTAACAATTCGACGAACAGCGAGCACATGTGAATGATTACAACGACCATAAAATGGCAAAAGCGCACGAAAAGTTGCAATTGGAAAACGGTTATTTTGATACAAAAATTTAATAATTTGTAAACGTTGTTCTTGCGTATATCTTTCCATGATGAAATAGTAAACATTACTTAATCCAATGAAAAAAAAATTACAGACCATGATATATTAAAATGGCGACACTCCGAATACATATTTACATAAATGAGTAGAACTTACCGACCGATTTCAACCATATTTGGTAAACAAAATTATCCTGACGCACCTATGTTATGCTGATTAAAGGGCACAATCTGCAAACAGGCCTGAAAAAATCATATGGAATTTATAATAAATAAGTTCACAAGTATACCTGAGCAATGTCAAAAATTAATGCAATCAGCCCTTCCATTTCTCTGCCCCAATGATTTTAGTATAATTTTAGTAATAATAATATTTAATATTACCATCTCCTGTAGGTATTTAGCCGACTTTAACCCTTGTAAATTGCAAGAGTATGAAATATTCAGTTACTCCCGAACTTAGTTCTTCCTTACTTGTTTTTTATTATAATTTGTATGCAATGTCTTCTCATATACAAGTATACTCGTACTTATGTAATAATCCGCTCAGTGTTTGCTTTCGCTTATTAACAATGGAGTGGGAAGCTACAGAAAATCCTATTGTGGTGATTTCTTTACATAAATAAGGAAAAAGAACAATTGAAAATTACGAGCTCCTCAAAAGCCTCTGACAATGCGCTTGAATCAAATTAGGCTCAACAAATGCAAGCAGTTTCTTCAGTGGTACGCGGTTTCCGGCCATGAAAATATCCTTTTTACGAATGAAAACATGTTCACTGTTGAAGAAGTTTTTAATGAGCAAAACGACAAAATCTACGATGTGGGGGGAGCCTCCTGTAAAGGTGTTACACCTCTTCACTTCTTTGAAAAAAGACGTTAAAACTGGAGCACAAGGGTACCAACAGTTAGAAGGCGTGGTAAGGCAATTAAGCAATACTCTCTTCGATGGAGAGTATCAAATACTCCAGTAAGATTTTGCTCCAGCACACCAGGTAAAAACCATGCAACAGTGCCTGAAGCGCAATATTTTTGGTTTAATAGCTGCAGATGATTGGATGTCGGGAAGATCAGATTCGAAGCCATTTGACTTTAGTTAGTGATCAGAGTTGGAGAACATCGCTTGTCTAAAACCCCACAGAAATTTGGATAGTCTCCAAAAATCTTTGGCAGCATCGTCAATACCAATAGAAACTGTGCCTCCTACTATTGATCAAAAGCCGAATCGTTTGAGGGTTTGTGTGACGGGCAAAAATTGATCATTTTAAATAAAATTCTGTACATCACACTCCTAACATATGCGTTAATAAATAACAATAATTTTATTAAAAAAGTTATTATAGTTTCCATTTTATAGCGGCCTGAACTTGTAACAAAACTTGTGACATTTATAGAAATTCTTTATACAGATATACTCGTGTTTGGCAGTGAAGTGGACAACGCGTTTGACGAACTGTATGAAAATTTGTACTTTGCTAGGTTAATTAGAAGGGAGTTGTAAATTTTGTTCCAAAATCAGTGAGAATCGCTTTGTCAAATGCTACATGTATTCGGCCGCAATTTAGTCATGTTTTATCACTAATCAGAATGATGTAGAGCTACAACTGAGGGCTACTGCTTTCGGGATTGGCAAATAGGATTTTTAGACGTTTTTTAAAAATGTTGTACAAATGTAAAACAATGCAAAATTAAGGAAACTTTATATTGATTGAGGATATTTGTACTCTTATTTCGAATAAGCCGCTCATCAACCAACTCTGAACCCCGCAATAGCAGATATCATCAACAACGATGTTCAACGTGAACACCAGGTGGCTATGACTTCTTTGGCTACTTTTATTAATGATTTTAATAACGAACGATTGTTTACTTCTGAGCAAGCAAATGTGAAAGATAAATAAAAATATCAATTGCTTTACGGCAAGGTGGGGTCCTTCTCTGGATGCACAAGTTGGGACTGGTAAGACATTCACCATCTCGCTGATACTGGTAAACTTTCGATCACAAAATCATATTGCATTGGAAATTGTTTCATCACTCATTACAGCAACTTGATGGTCCACGGACTGCGCATTCAACACTTAAACTAACTTCGAAAATTCATACAAATCCCGTGGAAATATGTACTGTAGAGAAGCTTTAAGGCACTGCTGAAGGTTTGAGAAAATGTAAAATGATTGCCTTTTCAGCTACTGCTGGAATCTAGTAATTTCTGACAAACCATACCCGTCGTTCTCTGTGTGCCATATGCGGATGAAATAAACGCATGTTTCAAAGAATCTTGTCTATAGAGAGGTGACGGTAATTTATGCCTTTCTCTTAATACGCGCCTTCAACTTTAACGTCAGGATTCTCAAAACAATTGTTAGACATTGACAGGCGAAAATTCATTTGCATAAAGATGCACATTATAGTCGACTCCCAAAGAATTTTTGCAATATGGTGTCTACCAAAGATAAGTTAATAAAAAGTATTTTTCCAAATTTATTATTCGAAATAATTATACTAATCATACATGGCCACATGAGCGATCTATTTTAGCCACAAAAAATTCAGAATTTGACAAGTAAAATTGGGTAAATACTTTCCCTATTCCAAATAGATCCGATTTAATGATTTCTGACTTTGGTTGCTCATTTTATGTGATATTTTAATGTTTTCAAAAACATAATGCGATAAAGCGAAGAATATGAATAAAATCTATTTAGACCGTGGTCTGAACCCACTATCCCTAGTAGATGATTATGATTTCCGTTTCACTGGTTGATTTTTTCCTCTGATACTCAATATATTTAATTTAGTTTCTTTGGTTGAAAATATATAATATATATTTCATTTGAATTAACTATATTTATTTTAGCATCAATATCCCGGACATGTAGAAAAACATGATAATGAGACCTATGTTAATAAGATACCAATATGATTGTAGTCACTTTTCCCTTTCGACGAACCATGAATATTAAATAATTTGGCAACATTCCTTTAATATAAAGATTATGAAATATTCCGTTTTACCCAAACTTAGCCCTTCCTTAATTGTTTTATTTATATCGCAATTCAGTAAGCAATTTCTAGGCACTATTTGAGACATTTTGAAATAAAATATCAATTTGTGACAAGTTACTATTCACACTACAGTCTCTCTTGTTTAGTCACAAAATAATGTCTCACATTTGTCACCTGATAGTAAGCAGGTCACAAAACTAATAAAAATTCTTGTTTTCCATTTGAATATACTTTTTAGAAATCTAAGATATTAATCGGATGTCGGTTTTTATAACTATTTTGTATGCAACTCCTACAAGTAAAAGTTACACAAAAAAAACCAATTTCTAATAAATTTCCTTACTATATATTGTGATTTAAAGTCAACATTTTATTTTTATTTTTATTGGTAGTTATGATTTTTGACTGCGTTATAGAAAATGTAATATTTGTTATCGACATATTTATTTTCATTCAGGTTTTATATACATCTCTAAATAACGAAATGTAAGAGCTGAGTAGATCTGTTCGTTTTGAATAGAGAGATTTTTGTGACTGTCACGTACTGAATTGCAAAATCGTCTCAAGTCACAAAAATTATATGTAGAAACTGACCACCTCTCCACTCAATCATACTTCAATCCACCCAAACAGATATACTTTATCTCAGTAAATTCATCGATGCCATAGTGTCCTCCCTCACGGCCGATACCGGATTCCTTGATGCCACCAAATGGTGCCTCCGCCTGCGACGCCAATCCTACATTTACGCCCACTATGCCGACCTCAAGTCGTCGCGCCACTCTAAATACTTCTTGCAAGTTTTGACTATAGAAATACCCGGATAAGCCGCGTAAAGAACTATTTGCCCTGGTTACAACTTCGTCTTCAGTGTCGAACTTTGTCAATGTGATAACTGGGCCGAAGATCTCTTCACGATAAATACGTGCTGTACGATCCACATCGGTGATGATAGTGGGTGCGTAGAAGAGTTCACCAATGTCTTGCAGACGTTTACCACCGCATATTACCTTCGCATGTCTGGATCGTGCGTCTTTCATAATTGTCTCAATTCTTTTTAACTCCGCTAAATTAATGAGTGGACCAATTTGCACACCTTTATTGTATCCCGGACCGATTTTCAAAGCTTCAACTTGTGCTTGCAACTGTTTCAGAAAGTCCTCATATACAGCGGACTGTACGTAGAAACGGTTGGCTGAGACACAAGTTTGTCCGGAATTACGAAATTTCGATAACATTGCACCCTTAACCGCTTCGGCAATGTCAGCGGATTTGAAGACAATGAATGGTGCATTACCGCCGAGCTCTAGCGAAACACGTTTCAGCAAACCGGCTGATTCACGAAACAAATATTTGCCAACTTCAGTGGAGCCGGTAAAAGAGATGCCACACACAAGTGGGCTTCGGCAGAAGAGATCACCGATTGGTGGAGCTGTATTCGTAGTGATCACGTTGAAAACACCAGCTGGTATACAGGCCATTTGGGTGAGCTTAGCTAGTGCTAAGCAGGAAAGTGGTGTATCTTCGTCAGGTTTGACGACAACTGTGCAGCCTATTCGAAGCGAAAATTTTAAAATTTTTTTTTTAAATTAACCGTAATTTTTTCGCTCTACACACCAGAGTTGCTGCTTGAACTTACCGGCCGCCATAGCCGCTGCTGCTTTGCGTAAGACTAACGCCATCGGAAAATTCCATGGTGTAATGAGTGCTGCAACACCAAGTGGCTCGCGAAGCACAAGCACCTCCTGATTGCTCATTGAACTGGCAATGAGTTGGCCATCAATGCGTCGTGCTTCCTCGGCAAACCATTCAACAAACGATTGACCATAATCCACCTCGGATAGGGACTCGGTTAATGGTTTGCCACATTCCGCCGTGATTATGTTAGCCAATTCAGCGCAATGCTGTGAAATCAAGATGTGCCAATTCTGTCAGGAAATCAATTAGAAGCTTAATAAAATATATTTTATATATGTACATATCTGCCGTCAAACCTTCAGCAACTGTGAGCGCTCGCGTGCTGTAATCAACTTCCATTCGGGCACGTAAAATGCTTTCGTGGCGACTTCTAACGCTTTTTGGGCTTCGACGACTGTCATGTCGGGCACACAGCCGATCACTTGCATATTTGCTGGATTTCGAACTTCGAATGTGGCACCGCTCGTCGCGTCTAACCATTCGCCACCAATATAAGCTTGCTCGAGCCAAAGGGATGTTTTCGTCGTGCGCGATTTGTGACGAAGAGAAAAGCGCATCAGTTTACTATTGCACATTCGGCACAATGTTGAAAAGGTAATGTACATTTTTTTGTTTTTAATAATATTAGTTTGATTATATGTCTTTTATTTTGATATTTTATTTTGTAATGTAAAGAGTTGCTAACTACATAACAAACTTTTGTAGACGATTTATTTTGAAAATCGGTTTTTTTATGAAACTCTCGAGGTAAACTGATAAAACCGACTTTAGCGGGATCCAAAGTGTTATTACCAAAATGGCTTCAGATCTTACCCTATAAAAAATGTGATTTTTTTCACCTTCCTCGGAATCCCGGAAATAAATCATCACTTTGACAAACGATCATTATTTAATATTCCATAATCTTCCATCATCATTCGAACTTCGAATGTGCTTTATATGCCGGTTTTCGTCTTGCTACTTACTACTTAGGTTCTTATTCGGGCAGAATTAAATTCTAGGAACCCTTATAATCAAAGAGAATATTTGGCTCCGAAATATGGGTTAGTATATGAAATAACTGTGCTCTTAACTGAAACTTAAAATCTCCAAAATAACCATAATCTGGTAATTCAGCTTCATGACTAAGTAATGTATTTTCAAAAGATAATCCTAACTTCAAGATGTCTGCGTTTTAAGATACAAATTGAGTTAAAACAAATATCATCCTATGCATTGACAGCAGTTTAACCCTGCACGTTTCAATACTAAACCTCCCAAAAAAATATAACGAACCAATATAACAAATGTATCAAAGAGGACGGACACGTTCCTGAATTTGAAACCTAAGTGTATACCTTAGATGTATAGCTCATACAAATAAGTCGTTAATTCAAATATTATATAAAGTGACCTAAGTATGACAATGATGGTATTGGATTTATACAAATTATCTACACCGGGTAAGCATAAATTTTAAAAGTGAAAGAAAGAATATAAACCCTAAAATCAGCTGTTTTCATATTTTCAATACGACTATGAGGACACTTCATGCGAGGTATCTTACCTAAAGACAGTGTGTAGTAAATAAAATCAATGACCTATAAAATTATTCGTTTTCGTTATCAAGAATTGGGTTATTTTAAAACTCGCCAAGAGTTATTCATCCATAAAAAATTAAACTAAATTTTATTAATTGAACAACTATCCGCCAACATCATAAATACCAAAATTATTTCGAGGATGTCCTTCTAAAAAAACCTAGAAAAACCAAACCTACTATTTCATCACATATAAATTAGAATGTGTTTAATTTCTTTTGCATCAAATACTATTTGCGAATTTATTGAATTCATAAATGTTGTCCCCCATTCGAAAAAATTCTTGTATTCCCATTAGTCGCATTGTTATTGAGAGCCAACATTTAAAGTATTAAATATTTACGCAGCTCATCAATATTAATCACTGCATGCGACAGAGCAATGAAATTAAGAGATGGCACCAGTTAACATATTCCAAATAAGTGAAAAAGAAAAGAAAAAAAAACTACATAAAAGTTTTGCGGGAAAAACGCTATGCGTTTCGAAATAAATGCAGCAATTATGTATTTAACAAAGTTCAGACCACAAAAATAGCACGGCAAAACTTAAACACCCCCAAATAATAAAAACATCAGCTATAACGAGCATAAAGACAAAACATTGTAAGCATAAAAGGTGCTTTATCAGAACAGTAGTGCGAAAATGTGCTCTGGTAGGAGGGTTTTCCATATTAAGTGAAAAATTAAGCGTAACTTAATAAAATGGGTTTAATATCAACAAAACTTACCCTAAACATAAAATTTAAAAATTGGTTATATCCTCAACAAAACTTAAACTAAGCTCAATTTCTTTGGAATTTCAAAATAATTTTGTTTAACATTTCTATGGGGTATTTAGACTATAAAACCAATAATTTATGTTTGCTACTTCTATAGTTATCCACTGCCTACAATGTGCTCATCTGATACCCACATGAGCAGATACGCCTCTTAAACATGACTCGTTATGTGTCTCATTATTTTTAATTAAGATATTTCTTTCTCTTGCCTTTCTTTGGGTCCCAATTATTACAGATTTCATTTATTAGGAAGCCGAGCCAACTTTTCATACCAATTATTATAGTATGTCAATCCAAAGAGGACCCCAACCTATATATTGTATATTAAATGAAATGTACTGATATATTATAAATAACGTCAATTTGGGGAAGATAGGTATTGGAGAAAGTCTCGGAAGGATGCAAAATACTGTTTGCTTACTCAAACAATGGTTCAAGTAGATCTATAAATATCCAAAGATATAATGAAGCTTTAAATCAGGATTGCATTTAGGGAAGTCTCGGCTAAGATTGCCAGAAAATTGGGACTGTGACTTGATAAACCTGTATTTACATCCCGCACGATATAAGATGTCGAAGTACTTATCTGAAATTTTATAAGTTATGAAATGTCTTCGACATATAAATTACCAATAATGAAATAAGCCGTAAAATCAAAGACCAATAAATACTCTTCGATCAGGAAATCACATCAAATGCAATGTTTAAATATTCATATTTGTGCCCACAATTCATGAAACTTTCAATGATTTGATCAGATTTACTCTTGTTTATTTTAAGGTTCTCATTTTCATTTTACATAACAAAAATCTGAAAACATAAAAAAAAATAACAGATATCTTTATAATTTTATAATGTCAGTTTGGTTTTGAAAAATAAGGATGCATTAAAGTAAACATAGAAAAAATTTCCGAACAGAAATGCTATATTTCAATAAAACTCCTTTCTTTGATAATATTTTACTTGACAATTTCATTTTAAAGACCAGTAGTAATCAGTCATTATGGAAGGATCCCATCAAACATTATACCTAAATATCACTTTTAGATCTGGATGGAATCGCTCTATTTGTTCCTTACTATAATTACCAAAATTATCCGAAAATTTATCCAGATGATTGCTGTTAAAGTCTAAGTGGTTACTAATATTTGCTCTTAGAATCTTAAAGTTTGTTAGCATATTTTAAACAATTGCTTCATAATTTGGTATTAATGGTTACTTAAAAGAATTTTAACTATCAACTTTTCCAAGTTTCACTTTCCAGACTAGACATAACTTTGTAATGTATATTTCATGCATTGCCGTATTTGAAAAACAACAAATAAGTCCACCATTTAACTTTTACATACCCAACTTTGAATTATTTAAAATTAAAACACTGAGTTCATTTTAAGAAAATAACTTTGCCGTGGTAGTTTCACCCTGCTATCCACTTTCACTAGTCGATTGTACCGATTTCTGGAAATTCGATAGCATCACAGTTTCTCAGAATTCTCAGTAATTCGCATACATTTGAATCGAAAGCAAGACTTTCATTGGATAAAACAGGACATTTTGTAGACTGTAAATATAGATATATCCACATTTGATTTTATTAAAACCTTCCGCATAGTTTTTTGCATATTTTCGGCAAGGATCCCAGGGGTGGTGACCACATAATGCACAAAAAAGGTGCGTAGAACCCTACTCTGAAACAACAAATTTTATTGTTAACAAGTTTACTGAAAAAACAAATTTTATTGTTAACAAGTTTAATTGATCTAAATATAGATATCTCAAAAATCTGTAATTTGAAAACATCTAAATTTTCAAAGATATCTAGGGCAACAAAAATTGTATTGTTTTTTGTATGTTAAAATTCATGAAGATATATTTTCACATAAAAAAGTTTTCCATGCGAGGACTTCAGTTGCGTCGGCGAGTTTGTATGGTAGCTTCGGCGGTTCCAACAAATGAGCAACTTTTTGGAGAGAAAAAACGTGTTCAAAATTTGAGATGGCTATCTCAAAAACTGAAGGACTAGTTCGCGTATATACAGACGGAAAGACGGACTGGCTAAATTCATTCAACTCGTCACGCTGATCTTTTATATACATATATACTTTACAAACATCGTGGCAAACCTAGTATATCCTGTTCAAGCTATCCATTGCACGCATAAACAGCAGCCCCCAGAAATACTGAAGCTTTAGATTCTCTCTTTTTCTCTTTATTCCTCGATAAAAACGTCTCACAACCAAAAATTTTATCCAGTTTTTACCTATAACCAACCGACTGTGCAATGCAACTCAGCGCCGGCAATCAACAATTAAAATTTCCTGCTAAATTTGTATTGTTGTTGTGTATATTGTGCATTGATGTGGTTTTTGTAGCAATTGAGCGTAAAACGCAAAATTTGTAGCAGTCGACTGGTGTTTGTTTGATCGTTTGGCTGGCTAGAGTTGTCAAAGTGTGGCAAAACAGATAAATACACACATAACTCTATATATGTATATACATCATCAGATGAAAGAAAGAGCGGTAGAGAGGTAATGAGAGGAATACGCCGAAAACTATTTGCGAGTGTTTTGCGGCGGTTGTTTTTGCAGAGAGGGAAGTGCAAATGACACAATTTAGCGCAATAGCAACAGCAACACCACAACCATAGCAAATACTTATGAATATGAATTTTAATGCAATCACAAAGTCACTGCAGCATAAAATATCTCGGATTTTTGGTTAAAAATATGAAACACAAAATTGCCGACAAACACACTAGGGCCCGTAGCACAACCGCGCCTCACGTACCGCTTGGAAGAGCAACACCCACTATACGCTGCCTGCGTACCACAATAATTTTGCGTCCTCGCAACACTAACTTTTCCTCCACGCGCATATGTTTTTATTTATGCGCTTGCCTGATGGCAACAAACCACCCCTCGCGCTAGTGCGCACTGCCATGCGGCTGCCTACTAACACTACTCTAACACTAGATATACCTATTATTCATAGCCCATTTTCAGCGATTTATATTTACTCGTTTAATCCATAAAGTAAAGTTGGAATTGCACTTCATCTCATTTATACGTCGCACCAACCCCTCGTCCATATTTACGCAAATTTTATGGGCGTAAATTATGTCTGCACACATTCCTGTGCGTGGGTGTTTGCGTTTGTATGTTTGGGTAGCTGGCTTTAACGAAAGTTTAAGGGGATCGGTATCGGCGAATTATGCTTTCTAAACAATAGTTATTTGTGCTGCATGCAGCAACATTGTCGTAAAAAACATGGGCGCCTAAAAGTAGGTTACGCCGCTGATTACAATGGCTGCTGACTTGTGGAATTTCTTGCTGCAAGTGGTAAAGCCACGTT